TTTTTTTTTGCATTTCCCAATATCTGTTACACATTTTGGTCCTTTGGTCCTTATTTACACTTTTGGTTTCTCACACCAGAGAAACAATATGGTATTTACACATGTGTGTCAGATCTACGTCACTTAAGAGTATGGTATCAAGCCACAGCCATTTAGCTAGAAATGTATCGAGCTTATCCTTCTTTATGACAGAGTAGTACTCCATTGTATAAAAATCCCCCACATCCTCTCGATCCATTCATTGGTTGCTGAGCATTTGGGCTATTTCCCAGATTTATCTATTACATACTGTGCCACTATAAACATGGGTGTAAATATACCGGTATGATGAAAAGCAAGGTTTTGTAGATACGACTCTTCCCTGTCTCCCAGGTTGCTCTGGAGCTCTGAGGCCCAGCCAGCACATTTTCCTAGTGGCTTAGCAGCCCCTCACCCCAGCTCATTAACAGTATAGCTGTTCTGACTTCGGTACAACCCAGATGTGCTGTATTGTTTTCTGTGATGCCATTGTCACTGCACCAACCGGTGCTGCCCAGATTGGAGCCCGCTTAGCTGATGGCTCCCTTAGCTCTTTGTAGCAGCTTCTTCAGCTTTCGGCCGCAGTCAGGAAACTCGTTTTCATTTATTTAAACGTGATTGTGGGAGAAGTACATGATTAAAGTGAGCCTTTGACCACACCGGAACAGATCTGACCCTCACCAGGAGAGCTGGCGGAGGAGGGTTGTAAGTGATAGTGTTATTTTTTCTGAACATCAGTGTAGACCTTTTCCAAAGGAGAACCAAAGCTGTTTGAACTGTGACCAGTCCTCAGTTGTCAAGTGTTAACACCTGTGGTTACTTGTAAGCCTGGTTAGATTCAAACCACTGACCTGAGCTGAAATATTTTCTAAGCTGTGACTCATTGTTTGGCCCATTCTGTCTTTCTCCAGGAAATACACTGAATACTAGTTTGAAGAATTTCAGTTATTCCTCCTGCAGAATGTGCTGCTCATTAAAGCTGCTGGGACTTGTAATGGTTATGCTGAATCTGTGAATAAACAGTAGAAATCTGATCAATAGAGAAAAGCTGTTGAGGATAATTTAAAAAAATTTTTTTTTCAGTACTGGCACTTGAACCCAGGGCCCTCGTGTATACTAGGCCAGTTCTCTACCACTACATCCCCAACCCTTCTTATTTTTAATTTTGAGACAGGTTCTCACTAGTTGCCCAGGTAGGTCTCAGACTTCCTATCCTCTTGCCTCAGTCTCCCAAGTAGCTGAATTCCAGGTCTGCACTACTGTGTCAGGCTTGGTTGTTGTTGATGCGACAGGAGGGGAATCCAAGCTGAGCAGAGTAGGTGGCCCGTGCGCTATCTGTAAACATTGCAGCACTGTTTACAGGACACAGGACTCTGCATGTAAGGCCTGCTTAGGCAAAACTAGGAGGAATTATTTCCGTGCTAAAAGCCAACAATAACATCCTGACAGCAAGGGGACAGAGGTCACCTCAAAGCAGCAGCCCTTGGGGGCTACAGGACATGAAAACTTGGCAGTACTGAGTTTATTAAAAAAGAAGACAATCAGCCATGGTGGGGCATGCCTGTAATCCTAGTGCTCAGGAGGCTGAGGCAGGAGGATTGCTGTAAATTCTAGGCCAATCTGGACTACATAGTAAGAGCCTATCTCAAAAAAAAGGCCGGGCATGGTGGTACGTGCCTGTAATCCCAGCACTTGGGAGACTGAGGCAGGAGACTTGCTGTGAGTTTGAGGCCAGCCTGGGCTACATAAGCAAATTCAAGGCCAGCCTACACTGCATGGTGAGATCCTGTCTCAAAACAAAAAACAAAAACAACAAAAGAAGACAAGATGTACTTGGAAAGAAGTGTGTGAAATCTGCCAACCTTTATCTTATTTGTCCATGGTTTATTTGTGAAATAAAAGTGAAAAGTCATCTTCACATTTGGATATGTGATAAATTCCTGTTACTTCCTGGTCATTTAGATGTTCCTGGCCTACCTATACATTGATTTACCTGTTCATTTTCATTATGTTTTTCAGTAGCAGGAATTGAACCCTGGGCCTAACACAGGCTAAGCAAGCACTCTACCACTAAACTACGTCCCTGCCCCTTTTTAAACAGTTTCATTTTGGGACAGGCTCTTAAGTTGCCCAGGCTGGCCTCAGACTTGCTATTCTCCTGCCTTAGCCTCCTGAGTAGCTAGGTTGTTAGTTATTTTTATTAGAAACATGATATACTCGGCTAGGCCTTGTGGACAAATGTGTTCTATCATTCTGGTGCTGTGTGCTGTAAGCAGTATCAGAGGAGCCCACTAGAGGGCTGGGCTGAAAAGCTAATACGTTCACCAAAACACAGATTCCATTTACAGAGTTTGTGGAATGAGTTCTCTTCCTGGGATCCTCGTGCGCCCACTTCCTTCCTTTCCGTCATTCCTCAGCCTGACACCACCCTCTCACCCCACAGAGGCCACGGAGCCTTTTTCTCGCGGCGCATTCTAGGTTTATACTGCTGTCTTCTCTGGGACTCATTGCACTGGTCTGGCTCGACTGGTTCAGGGCCGTGGGGATCTGAAAGTTTTTCTTCCCAGCCTTTATTCCCTGGCTCTTTCCATGCTCCGTGCCCGTTGGCTTTGCTGCTCCACTTTCCTGGTGGCGTAAGCTACCGCGCCACAGCTGGAAGGCTCTGAAGTTCAGGCGCAACCTCTGAGGCTGTTCCGCTTATCTCTTCCTAGAAATGGGGGTGGATCAGGGGCTCTATGGGAGGCGGTGCTGAGTCTCGTGGAATCCGGTCTGTTTGCTGTTTAAACAGTTCGGATTGTGTGTGTAAGGTGGGACCTTTCCCAAGTCTCTGAAGTGGGTCGTTGCTGTTACCCTTTTCCCTGTATTTTTCAATTGAAAAATTACTGAAGGGAGGTTTACCTTGTCCATGGCCACATAGGAAGTTGGTCTTACACCTTTTGAAGCAAACCTCATTTTTGTATGATTTAATACTTTTTAACAGAGGGGTTAGTTTAACAAATAATAAGTTCTTGATATGGATAAATACATCCTAACTGTAGGTTGACTGGTAGTAGGGATATGATTAAAGGTCAGAATTTTCATCAGTTTGATCACATTGAAGGTTACCAGCTGAGAAAAGTTTCTGGATGAAAGGGATAAATAGCCATGCAGAAAACTTTTAGCAAATCAGATGACATCCACAAAATCTTTATTTAAATCATTCTAAAAGAAACAGAAGGGCAGTTTGACTGGAGCAGAAATGGGTTGTGATACAAGGACGAACGGGGCTAGGAAGAGTTCTAGAAAGAGGCATCGTGCCAGCTTGTGGCATGGGTGAAGATGAAAATGTCCCCCTTTCTTCCATATCAGCTCCCTCCCCCGGGCCTCTGTCCAGAAGTACACTGGTGTCCAGAAGGCTCTGGTGTCCTGGCTTTGAGTGGCCTGTGTGTGAAGCCCAATGAGATCCTATGGGGTCAGTCAGCACAAAGAACAGTGGGCCTTTGGATTTGTTAAATTCTCCCTAATAGTTTTGCTGCTGTCAAATAGTTCTGCTAATTCCAAAGGCAAAACCATTTTGTCCTTGTTTTCCTGTGTCCGTTTGGCTTTCAGGCGAAGCAGCAGCTGGGACTGCTGTGCTACACTGCATTATGCAAGAGGCCTTCAGTGGGCCCAGCCACCTCTTTCCCTTAAGAAACAAAACACAAAATTCTGTTGCTTTGGTTTGTTTGGCTTTGGGGCCAGTAATTTACATCTCATTTGTGAGCCCCGTCACCCCCTCATTGTTTCTGCTAAATCCTGCTGTTTGAATCGGACTCTGGCTTCTGTCCTTATTGTGTTCATGAATTTTAACTGTGTTGGGTTCAGACCTGTTTCTCCCTCTAGTCTCTCTCCCCTTCCCTCACCACCCACCCCGTAGTAAACTTGGGATTCAGTCCGACTTGGGGAAAGAATAATGGTTTTTCCCTGCTTGTTTGTGATTCAATGATCATGTTCTCTTCTTACTAGTTATTCTTGTTTTTCTTGTCAACAGGCCACCAAGCAGTTCCTTGAAGAGATTAACAAGTGGACCGTTCAGTACAATGTTTCCCCGCTCTCCTGGAATGTGGCTGTCAAATTCCTCATGGCCAGGAAATTCGATGTGCTCAGGGCCATCGAGCTGTTCCACTCCTACAGGGTACGTGGCTTGGGTGGGCAGCCTGTGGCACTGGGCTTCTCTTGCTGTTCTCCTGCCCCACCAGGAAAAGTGGATGTGTGTCCAGGAACGCAGGGGGTGGCTGAGTCAGGGAGCAGCTACTGGAAACCCCACTTTTGTGCCCTGAGTTGGACTGGAGACATTGTGAGGACTGAGATAGCAAAGAAGCCTGCATTGGCCTGGGTGTGGGATGCTGGTGCTCCCTGCTGGAGTCTGAGTCTGAGCTCTCTTTGCTGGCTCCTGGGGCTTTTAGTGACTTGGCATTTAGATGATTGCTGAGTTTAGGTAGTTTGGGAAAAGGGCTTTAGCCTTGGGGAAAATGAGGGGGGCAACTGTAATGCTTTGACCTTATCTTAGCAGTACTGGTATATAGTGGAGCTCCATCGGTATTGTACTTTATCTTTTATTACTTTTTTTTTGAGGGGACTCAGTTTGAAGCTGTCATTCACAGCATTTGATTTTGTATTATGTTTGATTTCTTACTTGGCAGCATTATTGGAAAAACACTGGCCGGATGTGGTAGCTCACACCTCTAATCCTAGCACTGAGGAGGCTGAGGCAGGAGGATTGCCATGAGTTCTCAGTCAGCATGGGGTACATAGTGAGTGCAAGGCCAGTCTGGACTTTACAGTGAGTGAAGGTCAGAGACACTGTGAAGACACTGGTAGTGGAGTGAAGTGGTCACCTCTGCATTCTGTGCAGATTTCTCCTGTGCTTTGGGAAGGACTGTGCTGGAGACGGAGACCAGTGAGAAGGCCAGTGTACTCACAGGGAGACAATGACAGTGCTGATAAGCACAGTGTCGGGACAGGGCGAGATGTAGGCAGCCTCTAGAAGTAACATGGGTAGGACAGGTTGCTGAAACTGCTGTGTGAGGGAAGAGGGGTCAAGGATTCCAGGGTCTGACCTGGGTGGGTGTCAGTGTCACTTTCCTCGTCACTGGACAGAATACGCAATTCACAGCTTAAAGGCAGAGAGGTTTATTTTGGCTCACGGTTTCAGAATTTCCAGTCCTCAGTTGGCGGGCACAGATCCAGAAATGGCATGGCAGAAGGGCTGGGTGCGGAGGGCATAGAAAGCAGACCGTGGACCGCCTCCCCGCAGCCCCAGCCTCCCTGCAGCCCCCGCCTCCCAGCAAACCTTCCACTCTGCCCTTGGGGGTGATCCTGATGAATTCAGTGCCTCCTGAGCCAGTCCCCTTCCACCAAGCCAGTGCTGAGCATGTGAGGACCTAGGGGGACCCTGCAGACCTCACCACGACACAGGGTGAATGGCAGTGGTGTTGCTGAAGCGATGCCCTGAAATGTGTGGGAAGGAGATGGGAGTTAGTTGAGGTGCCTTTGGGATACCTAAATAGCCATGTCCTTGAAGCAGCAGGAATATGAGCTTAGAGTTCAGAAAAGAACTCCAGTCCAGCTTGGTGTGGTGATGCATGCCTGTAATCCCAGCATTCTGGGAGGCTGAGGCAGGGGGAGTGCAGCCTAGCAGTTTACCAACTTGACAAAATAATAAAAAAAAAAGGACTGGGAGTATAGCTCAGGGCAAAAGCCTTGCTTTCAATTTCCAGTACCATAGAGAGAAAAAATAACCCTTTGGAATGGAAATAGAGAGCTGAGCATACTGAAAGTAGAACTGGATATTGAAGCTATGGGGAGGGTGAAGGTTGTTGTCTGAAGAGAGTGTAAGGAACAGAAAATGTATAGGGCTCAATGCTCACCTCAGACGTGCTTTTTCGGTCCCATAGCATTTGGAAAATTGGATTAGAATGCTTTGGGTAGAGGCTGCTCTCCCTCCATCCACCGCTAATGGATGTCACCTCCGAAGGCACTTGAATTTGGTTCTAGGGATGGATCAGAGAAGATGATAAGCAAAGACCTGGTGTGTTTTATTCAAGCACTCAGCTCAGTGCCTGGCACAGGAAAATTACTCTTGAGTATTTGGAGAATGAATGAATGAAATGCCCACAAAGGGAACTCAGGAGTACAGGAGACAGTAACAGGAGCGGGGTTTTGTTTTGTTTGTCATCATGACATACAGAGTAGGAGGTATCGAATGTCTCCAAAGGAAGATAATGTCTTTGGTCAAGCTTGTCATGTAAAGGGAGGACTGGAAATGTCCACTGGATCAGTGACATGAATGAAGGTCTTGGTGACGGCAGCAGGAACTTGGAGCATAGTGGCTGGATTGGGAGGAAATCAGACTGAGTGCGAGGGAGCTGGAAGTGAGCACGGGGAACCCAGTGCAGAGGTGAGCAGCAGGAAGTCTCTGGGCTGTGATTGGAGGGGAGGTCAGTGGAGGGATTCCTATAAGACAGGGCGGCCTCAGTGAAGCAGCTGTGTGTAGATGCAAGCTCCATGTAGTGTTTGTCCCCATCTCAGTGTCCCGGTGGAAGGTCACTGTTGCTGCATGTTTAAGAAAGAACTTTGATTCTACCCTTTACCTCCTAATGTTACATATGGATCTTTTTTTGTTTTGTTTTGTTTTTTAAGACAGGGTCTCACTGTATAGTCCAGGCTAGCCTCAAACTTAGGGCAATCCTCCTATGTCTGCTGCCCAAGTGCTGAGATTATAGACCTGCACTACCATGCCCAGCCTTTTTTTTTGAGGTACGATCTTGCTATGTGGTTCAGGCTAGCCTTGAACTCGTGGCAATCCTCCTGCCTCCATTTCCCGAGTGCTAGGATTATAAGGGTGCACCACCATGCCTGACTCTTCTAGATAGGAACTGTGATGACATTTAGTTGACATGAAAGGAGGTTCCAAGGGAATTCCCAGTTGAGCTGACTTCTACTGTCTATTCTTCCTTCTCGCTGAGATTCCGGGGTCACATGAGACTGGCCTAGATATGCAATATTTTCATATTACTTCATCTTGCTGTGCTTCCTTTTCAGGAGACACGAAGGAAGGAAGGCATTGTAAAGCTGAAACCTCACGAAGAACCTCTCCGTTCTGAGATCCTCAGCGGGAAGTTCACCATCCTAGTGAGTCTTGATGGACCCATCTTGCCGTGCCTTGTTCCTGCCTTTTGTAACTCTTGTCCTGCTTGGACATTTTTCCTGAGTACCTTAGCCATAGTCTGGAGCAGATGTGAAGTAGCCATGCAGCTTGGCCCAGAATTGTTCTAGTAGTAACTGAATTACTATTAACCATAGTTATTATAATTACAAGTGATAGCTCAATAATTGAATTATAGAGAATCTAGTGTATAGTAGACTCATAGCATTTCATCATTGGCCCATGAAGGTTAGTCAGGGCCTAGGGGTTGGTATCCGTGTGCTAAGATACATCCTGTCCTGTTTAATGGAAGTCCACTTATTAGGACCGCTGGGCCTCTCAGGTAAGAATGAACTGGTACTGGTAGGCAGCAGGGAGACCAGGACGCTGTTGTATGGTTCTCTCTTGTTGCTGGCTTTTTTTTCATCCTACCTGGGAGATTAGTTAGTTACAAAGCCAGTGCAGAACCAACCTTTGATTGCTCTTCAGTTTGAGACCCAAGAAAATGTGATTTTTTTTTTTTTTTTTTTCCTTACCATAGAATATAGTTCTCTCAGCAGGCACTGAGAGAATCAGGGCTGCCATGATCCTAACCTTCTCTTTCTGGGAAGAGGCAGATCCAGGAAGCATTGCCAGCATTGTGTAGCAAGTGTTCTTCAGGGTAGAAACCTTTGTGATGGTTGCATTCCCCATTTGACTTTTGAATATTTCCTGTTTGCTTTGCTCTAGAATGTTCGGGATCCCACAGGAGCCTCCATCGCCCTCTTCACTGCCAGGCTGCACCATCCCCATAAGTCGGTCCAACACGTGGTCCTCCAGGCACTGTTTTACTTGCTGGACAGGGCTGTTGATAGGTGAGCACTGTTATCTTGTAGGTGGCCCACATCCAGATAGGAAAGTGACGGTTTTTGATATGATTAAATTCCCCAGTGTCTTCTCCCTGCCTGAGGATGAGCACTGGGCAGTGCTATCAGTAGGAAGCAGGCCGTGTTCCAGGGGTGTGGTGTGTTTCAAGGTGCTATCAGGATATTGGGTATTCCGTGTCTTTATCACCTCAGCTTTGTTTCAGAGTAGCAAGCTGAGAAAGCTGGTTGTTAGCAATTTGGCAGTGCATTGAGAACTACTTATTGGAAGAGAGAGAGGAGGAAATGACGGATGTTGGTTCTTTTCGCTGCTATCAGTAGCCTCTGGAGCCAGGTGTGGTAGCACATGCCTATATTCCCAGTACTGGGAAGACTGAGGCAGGAGGATCACCACAAGTTCGAGGCCAGCCTGGGCTATATAGTGAGTTCAAGGCCAGTCTGGACTTTATAGTGAGACCCTGTCTCAATGAAACAAATATACAAACACACACACACACACACAAAGTCTCTGGGGCTATGTGTAGTAGAATACACCTGCAGTGCTAGCTGCTTGTTGGGGGCTGAAGCTGGAAGATCGGAAGTTCCAGGCTAGCCCAGGCAACTTAATGAGACCCTGTCTCAAAAAAGAAAAAGAAAAAGAAGTGGGGGCTGGGAATGTAGCCCAATGGTAGAGCATTTGCCTGACAGGTACAAGATCCTGGGTTCAATACTTAGCGTGGAAAAACAATCTCTGGGGCGTCTGTTTCTTTGTCTGAGAATAGGGATATTGCCATTTAACTTAGAGGATTTTGAGAATCATTATTCCAAAAGTATAAAGCAAAAGCATTTTTTTGTTGGTTTTTGTTTTTGTTTTTTCTTCTTAAGACAGGGTCTCACTGTGTAGTTCAAGCTGGCCTTGAATTCACTATATGGCCCAGGCTAACTATGAATTTGCTGCAGTCCTCCTGCCTCAGTCTCCCGAGTGCTGGGATTACAGGCATGTGCCACCCTGCCCAGCCTTGTAAAAGTATTTTTATGATAATAACAGGCATAAACAAAAAGAACTAGCTTAAGTCATATCCTCTCCCTGCAGGTTAAGTGAGATTACAGTCTCAGGGAGAAAACACCTGAAGGCCAAAGGTCTCCTTCGACTTTGTTTCTGGTGCTAGTGCAATTGCCTGGCCTTTTCCATCCATCACACAAGGAGCCGCCCAGGCTTGAGTCCTACTTGCTCTGTTCTTCCCAGAGCTGTTGTGCAGTGCCATGTGCTATCTTAGTTACTTTTCTCTCATTGCTGAGGCAAAATACCTGATGCCCAAAATTAAGGAAGGAATGGCTTATTTAGCTCATATTTTGTGGAGATTTTAGTCCATACTCAGCTGGCTCCAAGGCAGAATGGCACGTGGCAGAGGGCAACAGTTCATGGCATCAGAAGATAGCAAAAGCAACAAGAGCAAGAGAGGAAAGCAGCAGCAAGCAGCCTCTTTCCCTCCTTTACCTTGTATGCAAACTGCCCACCCCAGGGCTGGTGTAGCTCTCACACCCATAATTCCAGCATTGGACTAAGGATCAATCAGAAATCTCGAAGCCCGCCCCATGACTGCATGAGGATTTGGGGAGACATGCAGACACAAACCGTAACATGTGCCTTCCTTCCTTACCTCCTTCTTCCATGGTGCTGCTGTTGCCAGTGCGACAGCTTTTGACATCTCTGCTGGTCCTTTGGATTTGAAGGCTGCCCTGAGGGCTGAGATCAGGAGCACTAGAGCTATCTGTTCAGTCAGCACTAGTGCCAGTCTGTTCAGACTGCAGACCTCCAGGCTGAACATAGCCTGGCAGTGATCTGAGCTAGGTCTCTGCCTCAGTTATATCACCTCGTAACACCTAATTTCTGCTTTTGATGCTCAACTGGAGCTAGATTTGCAGTCCTTGCACAGTATTATTCTGAAAGAGGAAAGTTGCCAAGGGGTGGGAGGTGAGCTCAGTGATAGAGAGCATTTGCTTAGCATGTGCAAAGCTCTGGCTTTGATCCCCAGCACTGTCAATAAATAAAATTAAATTAAAAAAAGAAGTTACAGGGGTAGGGGCTGTAGCTCAGCAGCACAGTGCCTGCTTGGTAAGTGCAAGGTCATGAGTTCGAGTCCTAAAAAAAGAAAAAAGAAGTTGCAAATGAGTGCAGTGGCACCTGCCTGTAATCCCCGCACTCTGGGAGGCTGAGGCAGGAGGATTGCAAGTTCAGAAGCAGCATGGGCAAAATATTTTGAGACCCCATTTTAAAGGAAAACATTTAAAAGGAGGAGGGTGCTGAGTACGTAGCTCAGTGTGAAGGCCTTGGGCTCAATCCTTGGTACTGAAAAAGAAGGGGAAAGGGGAATGAAGTTATCAAGGAGTCAGGACTAGTAATCTCAATGGCCTTGTGCTCCCCAATTGGAAGTATAGAATTTCTCTATCCTCTTGCTTGTGACTGAGCATTAGATCCACTTTCCAGAATAAGGATACTCTGAAATGCTTCTCTAGAATAAATGGGAGCCTTTGCCCCAGAAATCCAACATTAAGCTTCCTTCTGAGAAGGCCTGGAGATTGGGAAGGCTCATGAAGGTGTGGCCAGATTTACTCCTTCCAGTGTGAGTGTGGGCACCATAGGAGGTCCACACAGGGCAATGTAATACTAACGTCATGGCTGTTTATTATCCAGAGGAGGCCAATAATATGTGCTGAATAAATGTAACCCCTTTCCCAAGCAGAAATTCTCCCCAGTGAGTAGACAATCTCTCTTTTCCCTTGTTACCTTGAACCAGAACGACCTCCTCTCTCCCCTTCTCTTCACTGAATCCTGCCTTTGCTTTAAGGCCCAGCTTGCTCACTGGTTCTTTCACTATTCCACCTTGTTATAAATAAAATTCTTTACTCTGATCTTAATAACAGTTATTATCAATACTTATCCCTTTTTTTTTCTTTTTTTAATTTTTTATTTTGAGACAAGGTCTTGCTAAGTCACAGGGTTGCCTAGGCTGGGCTCAAATTTGTGATCGTCCTGCCTCAGCCTCCCAGAGCCCTAGGATTATAAATGTATATCATCTTGCCCAGCTGCCAGTCCCAATAAGTATGTGCTCAGTTATTCATTCTTTGTGATGTCATTGATTTAACACTAATATTAGATTTTTTTGGTTTTATACTTTGAGACAGGGTCTCTCATTGGCCTTGAACTCATTATGTAGCCTAGGTATGTCTTGAACTTTCACCAGTCCTCCTGTCTTAGCTTCCTCAGTGCTGGGATTACACATTTATACCACATGCTAGGCTAGAATTAGCAGTTTTTTAGCATGTTATTTCCTGGGTGGGTGCTTCTGTCTTGGATTTTATTAAAAGAATGAAGTGGTGAAAAAAAGCTGGATATGATGGTGCACACCTGTAATCCCAGCCGTCAGGAGACTGAGGAAGGAATATGAGTTTGAGGTCAGCCTAAGATGTATAATGTGTTCAAGGCCTCCTGATGCTACATATTGAGTGCAGTCTGGACTAGATAACAAGACCTTATCTCAAACAAACAAAAGCCAGTCATGGTTTGCATGCCTGTAATCACAGCTACTTGGGAAGCTGAGGCAGGAGGATTACAAGTTTGCGGCCTGGGGCTGGCGATTTAGCTCATTCCCTGGCAAGCGCAAGGTTGTGAGTTCGATTCCTGGTACGGTTGTGGGGGGAGTTTGAGGCCTGCCTGGGCAACTTAGTGAGATGTGAAAAAATAAAAAAGAATGGGATATAGCTCAGTGGTAGAGTGAGTTTCATCCCTAGCACTCCTCCGCTCCCCTACCCTCCCACATGACGAATGTGTTACAGGAATGCATTTGCTCAATTCTAAATAGGTGTGAAAACTGTTGCTACCTATGAGTAGTCTAATAATTTATTCCTTATAATTTTCTAGGGTTACAAGTCAAAAGCAAGTAAGGATCTGCATTGGTTTGAAAAAAGTATTTGCAATGAATAAATGTTTTCATTCAATGCTTGGTTTACAGCTTTGAGACTCAGAGGAATGGCCTGGTGTTTATCTATGACATGTGCGGTTCTAATTATGCTAACTTTGAGCTGGATCTTGGCAAGAAAGTCCTCAACTTGCTCAAGGTAAGGCCGGGGAGGATGCTCTCCGCTCTCTTTCAATTGTCAGGGATTTTTCCCTTTTTATTCTTTCGGGAAAAGAATTAGGAATGATGTAAATTTCAGACATTGTGTTCAGTTTAAAGGTCACATCTCCTTCAAATAATTTCATTCTCAAAAAATATGAAGAATGTTTAAATTTAAACAATTTATTACTGTAAAAACACACTGTTATTAATCAACCTCAAGGTACTCCTCCTTCCTTTGAGTATACTTATCCCACCATTGTCTGTTTTTATATTTTTGTTTTGTTTTGTTTTTTTTTGAGATAGGGTTTCACTGTGCAGTTTAGGCTGGACTTGAACTTACTTTTTGTTTTTTTTTTTTTTTTTTGGTTTTTCTCCGGTACCGGGAACCGAACTCACGACCTTGCGCTTGCCAGGCAGGCGCTTTTGCCGCTGAGCTAAATCCCCAGCCCCTGAACTTACTTTTTGTTTTTCAACTTTTCTTTCTTTCTTTTTTTTTTTTGTGGTACCAGGAATCTAACTTAGGACCTTGCACTTGCCAGGCAGATGCTGTGCTGCTGAGCTGTATCCCCAGGCCCTGTTTTTGTTTTTTTGTTTTGTTTTGTTTTTTGTTTTTTGTTTTTTGTTTTCTAGACAGGGTCTCCCTTTGTAATTCAGGCTGAGCCTGGCCCTGAACTTACTGTGTAACCCAAGCTGGTCTCAAACTTCAATGATCTTCCTGCCTCAGCCTCCTGAGTACTGGGAATATAGGCATCTACCACCACACCCAGCTTTCCAAACTGGTTTTTGATGTGGCATTTAAAGGGGCTTTTGGTATTTAGGGACTGAAATAAACTATTCCATCTTTAATGACAGAGATACAGGTTCTCAGACTTCAGTAAAGATGATGATGTTGTGGATACTATGTATTCTCTATGAGGGAGCGTGTGAGTCCCCAGATGCTATAAAACTGAAGAGTAACAGCATGACAAAGAATAACACACCAGCTTGAGAGTTAGGCTCATGGAAGTGGCAGCAAGAGTAGGTTCAACAAGAATAGAGTAGGAGGTTTTTACCCACAGTGTCCTCTTTATTTGGCTCCCTAGGAGTTAGAATGCCAGCTTAGTGCATGGAATCCTATTCCCAAGCTGAGCCAGGATATTGACAGCTGAGTGATGCAGAGCCCCAAGGGTTAGGGTGAACCATCTGTCAACTTTGAGCTTGTATAGATCTGTGTATCTCTGTTTTGAACCTCTTTGCTACTTGTGTGCACCAGATCATTTTGTGCTGCTGGGGATTGAGCACAGGCCTTGTGCATGCTAAACAGTGTATCTAGCTCTGAGCTGCACTTCCAGCCTAGATTATGTTTATTTATTGATTGAATAAATGAATACCCAGAGGAAGAAAGGAGTGAAAAAATAAATGATGTATACACAGACATCAGACTAAATGAAAGGTTGTGGAAGTTTCTTTCATTCAGTTTATTCATAATCTAATTTTCCCTTGAGTTTAATAAGTAGACCTAGGCACAGTGGTGCACACCTATAATTTCAGCTAGTGGGGCAGCTGAGGTAGGAGGATTGTATGTTCAAGGCCAGCTTGGGCAATTTTTTTTTTTTTTTTTTACTTTTATTTGTCTTTTTGAGACAGAGTCTCACTATGCAGTTCAGGCTGGCCTTGAGCTCACTTTATAGCCCAGGCTGGTCTCTAACTTGCAACAGTCCTCCTGCCTCAGCCTCCAACATGCTGGGATTGTAGGCATGCACCACTACGCCTGGCTCAGCTTAGGCAATTTAGTAACAGTCTGTCTCAAAATAAAATAAAACAAAGAACTGGGGACATAGCGCAGTAGTAGAGTACTTGCTTAGCATGTATAAGGCTTTGGGTTTAATTCCTAGTACCAAAAAAAAAAAAATTTAAAAAGTTGAACTTGCTAGCCATGGTGGTGGTGTACATCTGTAATCCTAGCACTCTGGGTGTCTGAAGCAGGAGAATCGCAACTTTGGATTCAGCCTGGGAAACTTAGCAAGACCCTGTCTCAGAAAAACCACTTGGGATGCAGCTCAGTGTGAAGGCCCTGGATTCAGTTCCTAGTACCACATATATACACACACACACAAAAGAAGAACTTTCTAGGATAGATACAGGTAGGCTGATGTATGAAGTGTGTAGTATAACTGCTCAACAGAAAAGTTAGCATAGCTGCCATTAGGATGGCTGAGCAGTCTGAGGTGCTGCATTTAGAAAAGTTAGCACAGGCCAGGTGTAGTTGCATGTACCTATAATCCCAGCACTAAGGAGGCTGAGGCAGGAGTATCATTATAAGTTCAAGGCCAGCCTGGGCTGCATAATGAGTTCAACAGCAGCGTGAATTGCCTAGTGAGCCTGTCTCAAAAAATCAAGGAAGAGAAAAGTTAGCAGTTTTTGTTCCCTAAAGCTTGTAGTAAACATGACCTTAACAATTATTTTTAGAGGTAAATCAGCTTCTGTTTCTTTTAACCGTGTTCCCTGTAGCTATCAAAATGTGAATTCTTTTAACCACTTTCCCTGTAGCTGTTGAAACCTGTAGACTCTCCCTGCTGAGTAAGATGGGGAGAAGTACAGAAGACCAAAATTGAGCTCTTGGAGTCCTTAGTACTAGGAGGCCTAATCCCTTTCCACTCTCCCCACAGGGAGCTTTTCCAGCCCGCTTGAAAAAGGTGCTGATTGTGGGCGCACCCATCTGGTTCCGAGTGCCCTACTCCATCATCAGCCTCCTCCTGAAGGACAAAGTGCGGGAGAGGGTAAGGCAAGCCCACCTTCAAACATCCTATCTCTGCTGCTGAAATCCTGCCAGCTACTTTCCTTCCTTCTTGAGATCCTCCCAGCTCAGCTTGTGGAGCACATTCTGCCCCTTAGTGTGTTCCCTGCTTTCTTTCTTTCTTTACTCATCAGCTGAGCAGACAGCTCCCTCTAGGTCCCCAGGCGCTGTGGTCTGGAGCAGCTCAGTGGGCTGGCTGTCCTTCACAGTGCCTCCCACAGGGGAAGCTGAGGAGTGTCCTGAGGAATTCTGGGGTGGGTATCCCAGAATTGTACCGGCCTTCTCTGTTTCCCAGCATTTAAACGTGAGAGTGTAGCTCCAGGTTAGAGTGTGTGTTTAGCATGCACAAGCCCTGGGTTTCTAGTTAGCCTTGCGCTTGAATTATGGGACTTATTTATTTTATTTTTTTTGGTTTTTCTCCGGTACCGGGAACCGAACTCACGACCTTGCGCTTGCCAGGCAGGTGCTTTTGCCGCTGAGCTAAACCCCCAGCCCCTGAATTATGGGACTTATGAATGTATGTCTAAACTCAGAATACATTGAACACCTGATCTGTAGTGGAGTCTGGGAATGAAACCTGAGTGAGACTGTCCTTACCCGGAGGAGCAAGGAGCGTGTGGTCCTGCGAAGAACAGGAGCACAGAGGAGAGGGTGGAGAGAATACAGAGGACCAGGCTCTGTTACAGACTAGGGGAGAGTCTCAGGTTGTCAGCAAGGGCTTCCTGCAGAGGCAGAGGAGGAAAGAAGAGCTTTCCAAGAGGAGGCAGCATCTACTCCACAGAGATTCCAGGGAGAATCCACGAGGCTGTCTGGGTCCAGCATGGCTGAGTCCAAGCAGAGAGCAGAACGAAGTATTATGATCGCTTACCTAGGATTTCGTTTAGTTCCCCTCCGCTGGGGGCCAGCCTTGTCTTATGTGTTTGGAAATCTCTTTGAACATCCATACCGAGCTGAGAATAAAATGCAAACAAAGAGGCCAAGAACTGGTTGCCTTATGTGCTGACAAAAATAACCACTCCCTATGCGTTGTCAGTGGCGAGAGAGCAAAGTGCCAGCATGTGATGGTTTTGAGCAGCCTTGTTACTAGAATGAGCCTTCACTCATTATCCCTTTTTTTTAGGTAGGTCTGTACTAGGGCCTCTAATTCCAGGAGTGAATTTTAGATGTTCTGTGAATTCAGACTTTTATTTGAGAATTCACAGGACTTTTAACCCTAGACAGATAAATTACAATATGCTTCTTTTATACATAGTACAAGGGGTAATGAAAGTATATGGTGAATGTTTAAATTTGAATTAAAAAAATATTACAATAAAAGGCACATTGTCATTAATCCCCCTCAAAATACGCTCTTTCACTTCAAACACACTTATCCATCATTTTTGCCACTTTCTGACACTATACTAAAAATCTTTCATGAGTGTCTTTAGAAAGTCTGATTAAAAAATACAGTGAATGATTCTGCCGAGCAGAACCATTGAACAAAAAGGCAGGCTCGTAAAAACATTACCATGTGTCCTCATTCACCTTTTTCACCTGCTCTGGCACTGCATGACTACTGGCTCTTCCCCAAAGTCAAAATGACCATGGAATGTCAGCATTTTGAATCAATTCAGGACATCAAGGCAGCCAAGATAGCATAACTAAAGACACTCGTGAAGGAGACTTCCAGAACTGCTTCAGAGAATAGCAAAAACAATGGGATAAGTATATTTGAAGCAAATGGGAGTATTTTGAGGGGGGGTTAATAGTAATATGTCCTTTATTCTAACAAATTTAAAAATTTTTTTCTTT